GGAGTTATTTATTTATTTATTTATTTATTTATTTATTTATTTATTTATTTATTTATTTATTTATTTATTTATTTATTTATTTATTTATTTATTTATTCCCACTCCGAGCCTAGGCTGGAAGGGAAGACTTTAAAAAGAGAAAGCGAGCTGCAGAGTGACTAGAAAAGGATAGGGTTAGTGTTTAACAGCACACAGTTCTTTAGTGGTGTTTTTTTTTAAAGGAACATGCTGGCAAGTTTCTTGGAGAGAGAGAAAATAAAAGTTTTCAGGAAACGGACCCATCAATGTGGATTGGTAGGAAATGTTAATGCCGGGTGAAGAATTATGGTGCCTATTACACACACACACACACACGCACACACACACACACACACAAACCCCTTGGCTCATCACATTTGGGAAGGCAGAGAATTTCCCCCTGGACTTATTAGTCACAGAAATTATTGTCCTGCGTATAATGGAAACATTTCCTAAACTGCTTTAATTTCTAATAGGCAGTTTTCTAAGTGTGATTACTAAAATTACATTTTCCCAAAAGCAGTGAGACTTGAATGTTGGGCAGTTTATAATCCTAAACATATTTAATAGGCAGTGTCAAAATTCAGTGGCATTTTCTGTTGAGAAAGATAACAGGATCACATTGCACAATTATCCATTAAAATAATTAGTGTTCATTATTAAGATGCTTAAACACATAATAAACAAGTACTGGTCATGATGTTTTGTTTCTGAAGGTTTTTTTTTTAAAGCTTGTTCTTGAGTAAGAATAATGAATCATCTGGTCATTTTAATTTTAAGTATGCATAGTTTTATAATAATAGCAACAGGATACAGCATATTATCTGGTACAGTATAGTCCTGATATTGTAGGAAAGTTACTATGTAATGCTTGAGTTCTTGATTTTAAGGAAAATGAACACTGAGCAGAATCAACTGAGCACACATATATTTGATTGCAAAAAGTGGATTTGAAAAAAGTCTGGGTAAGGATCAGTAAGAACCTCTGGCGAGAGGTTAATAGCAAAGGAGCTCAAAAGCAGGAGAAAGATAATAAATTACAGTAACAAACTACTCCAATGCAGAGAAAAAATGGAGGACAGCAAAATAAGCCAGTGTGACTACATAAAAAGGTTAAAGGAAGATTTGGGAAGAGAAATACAGAAAATGAAAGAACCAGATCATAAAGGAAGAGCAGGTAGCCGAGAACTGTAGTGCTGATAACTGGAAAGCCAAAGCAGAAATTAGCAAAGAATGTTACAATTAAAGTAGGGGTTCTTAAAACTTATTCAGAATAGATCACTACAATATCTGCCCAATGAAGAAGGAAAAATGCTAAGTTCTTCAACAAAACTATGAGTTCTGCTTAGGAAGAGCAGAATGAAAGGGCAGATTTTAGACTGACAGCAACATTATTAAAAAAATCCCTTTGAGTTTAACTTTAGGATAAGAGTAATGATATGATACAGTACTGTATTAAAGGAAGTAGCTAATGGTCTGGTTGAACTCTTGTCTATGATATTTGAGGATACTTGGAGAATGGATGCTGCCAAGCGACTGGAGGAGAGAATTATTGACCATGACGTTAAAAAGGATCAAAAGAAGCTATAGCAAACTACTAACCAGTTTGACATTGATACTTGGGAAGATTCTAGAACTCATCAAGAGTTAGATCAGCAATTTAGAACCAACCATCAAGAGATGGATCTACAATATAACCCACATCGAAAACAATGCAGTAACTACCAGGAGTCAGCAGTGATTTGTTGAGAACAAATTGTGGCAGATTTATTTTAGCTTTTTTTTTTAGGTCAAACATGCTGGGTAGTGCAGCAATCAAGTGGTTGCTTAACAATATGGTTTGAAAATCATATATAGATTGCAAGCTATCAATGGCTCCTTGCCAAATTGGAAAAAGATAGTGGGTGTGGTACCATAAAAATATTTTAGGTAACCTACTTTTCAATATTTTATTATTTATTTACTTACATTATTTATATAGCCACCCTTCCCACAAACACATATCTCTGGGTTGAGTACAACACAATAGTTAAACGCTCCACAACAAACCAAAATAAAATAAACATAAAGTAATCATGCAAAATAAATAAAACAAACAAGTAAAANCCTGTTGATGACGTCAGCAACGCGGTTTAATCGGGCGCGGCTTAGTTGAGCGCAGTTTTGACGGGTCACGCTTGTACACAGCTAGATTTCCTTCTTTTGACAAACATCATCTACTTTCTCTTTTTTGCTATTTGTGCCAAAAAAAAACAAAAAACCATCTACTTTGGTCTTGGATTTTACCGTTTATCTAATGTTCATGTTTTCAGCCAACAGCATGATGTTATCTACATAGAAAAGTGCATGTATATTCATGTTCTCCACTAACGTATCTTTAATGTCACTACAAGCATTCCTTAGGCATACATCCATAAATATATTAAACAATCAAAAGGACATTACACATCCTTGATTTATTCTGATCTCAGTGTAAACCTTTTGCCAAGTATTCCATTTATTCTCATGCATATATTACTTTTATTATATGCTTCTCTTGCCTTTTTCAACCACCCCTTATATATTTGCACACAAAAACTATAACACAATACATTCATTTTGTCATACACATACACACGCACGCATACACACACACACCTTTCTGCAAGGGAATGCTGGCTTTTTTTTTACTTTTGGCAACAGCAGAAGCTATTGCTCTGCAGATATCTGATATGGAGATATTTAAAATATTCCTGGCCTAGGTTATCATATGATTTATAAATAATAAATAAATCATGCAAAACCTAGAAGCTCCCACAACTGCATTCAATTTTCCAACCCTGCCAGGCAACAACATTATTGAAAAAGGTCAGAGTAACTGGGTTACCATGACATGGGAGGAAGAAGTAGCTGTGTTTGCCACCCAATCTTAAAACCTGCAATTTATTAAGGGGGCAAGGGTCAACTAATAAAGACAACAGAACCTGTAACACGTCTTGCCTTCATATATCATTGAGGTACATTTTTGAGTAGCACATGATATGGCAAGCACAATGTAAAGTTACAAATTGATAGCTTGATTAATCTTTACTCTCAGAGGGTTGTGGCTGACTTGCAATCCTATAATTCTGATGAAGGAACGGGATGACTACCTGGAAATTATTTGTTTGGAAGAAAAGTTTCTTGTTTTTTTAGACAACACCTTTTAGTTGGAATTTTTTAGACAACACCTTTTAGTTGGAATTTCTCCACTGAATCATTATCATTAGAGGAAATGTTGACTCATGGGCCTGGGAATAAGAAGAAAAGCTTCAGCTTAGCATGTGAATAGCAATTAGAAATAGTTGGCCTCAAAAATACAGCATGAATTTCATTTTTGCATTGAGCCCAGGCTACTCACGAACAGATGAAAAGAAATTAAGGAGCTTATGGTAACAAAGCAATGGGAACCAAAAATTATTGGGGGGGGGCAATATTGTAAGAGGAAAGCCGTATTAGTCTATAGTGACAGAAACCTAATATTGTCTGGTAGCATTTTTCTGAGTAACAAATTTTATTAAAAGACATCAGTTTTCAAGAGCTTATCAGATGCATAGACCAGCTAGACAGATGTAGGATTTAAATTGGGTGAGGTGGGGGTGGAAGGGAGGGGAAGGCAGGTTGTTTATGTATGTGCAGTTTACAGGTGAGACACATTATAAACACCTTATCAATTAACAATTTTAATATGTTAAAACTCCATTGTGTTTGTGAACTTCTAAGACTGCCTCAAACCTTTTGATGTATGTGAATTCAACACTTTCCCAATCAGTGATGGAATTTAAAAAACCCATTTTACCAAAAGAGTTACTTAGAGATCTGATATAGAGCGTCC